TAGAGTTATTGGTATAATTTTAAAGCTTGTTCATTTGTCTTTATTTGGATGAAAAGAGTATCTATTTATCTTAAATACAAGTCGACATATTTGCGAAAGAAGGAGGTGGGGGTCACCCTTTTTCAGAGGTAAAATTAGTGAGAAAATGGCTGCCAAAGATTAGATATTTCCTCAGCTTAAGAGTCCGTGGTAACTGAAAATTTACATTTTTTGTGCCTTTAATCAACGTTTTTCCAGTAAAAACCGCACAGAAATGAGTTTTTAAATGGACATGAAAGGTGTTGAGCCCAAAAACAAAAATTTGATAAAAATTAACAAACCTGCTGGAAAATGCAAGTTCCTTCACTTTGATTATTTTGACGAGAGCCTGATTCCACCACGCTGCCTCACAAATGTCTTATAACTTCACTGCTGGGTAAACGTATGTTCTGGCTTGTATTTTCCACTTATATTGTTTCATCTGGTTGACAAAAGAAGTTTTAGTTTGTATAGTTACAGCTTGTGATTTTGCTTATTCTGAAACAATTCTCTGTGTTCAAATATTCCTTGAATTAACATTTTATCTTGACAGTACAAATGTTGATGGACATTTTTCAGCAGTGAATGGGTAAAGGCTCAGCCAAGGATACGCCTATTCCCACGGTTATTCTTTAATAATAAAACTCTTCTTGTAAAAAAGTTACTATTTTTTTAAGAACTGGGGAAAAGTAGAGAGAAGACCCATACTTCTCAAGACTAGACAATGGAGCGACAATTTAGGACTCACTTTTTTCACAGAACCCAGTAATCAACCCGATCAAATCGACCCTCGTAAGGAATGTCTTACTTTCTGCGACTACACGCACACCTACACACCACACACATACTCACGTATATTTTGGCTTTCCGAGGAAATCTTACCTTTGAACTAGACCTACAATCATGTTGTCACATTCTAACGCACGCACGCGCGCGCGCACACACACACACACACACACACACACACACACACACACACACACACACACACACATACACGCACACACACACACATACTCATGCAAGCAGATATGAATATTCAGTTTCACAATTTTGGCGCGTGTGTACACTTACACCTAGCTATGAAATAATTAACACTTCACTTTGTATAAAAGACAAATTTTGCCTCCCATCTAAGAACGCTCTAAAAAGTTCAACACTCAGGCAAAACCCCCATTTTCGAAGTTCTCAAAGAAAATAGTCAAATATACACACGACCGTCCACGGGTTTAAAAACTTATCTCTGCCCCCCCCCCCCCTCTCTCTCTCTCTCTCTCTCTCTCTCTCTCTCCTCTCTCTCTCTCTCTCTCTCTCTCTCCCTTTCCCCCCTCTCTCTCCCCCCAACCTTTAAGACGATTTTCCATGTGTACCACCCGATTTGAACAAATACCACACAGAACCTCAAGCGTCTTTCAACAAGATATAATTACTCGTCGAAAGCGAAAGCATTTGAAAGCACAGTATTAAAATTCCGGCGCGGTTTACTTTCTGAAGTTGCAAGCAAACGGGAAGAGTGGTAAGAATAAATTCGCCCGGACTTTGTTTGCGAATGATGGGGTATGCAGATGAAGCTAGATGCACGGCCTAGGTCAAAACGTTCGAATAGGTCAACGGTCCACGCCAAAATGTTCGAATGGCTACATAGAGTCCAAGTCAAAACGAACAACGAGCATGACTTAACGTCTTTAAACGTTGGATATATTGTGTTTTAGTCAATCACCCCCC